GCGTTCAGATCCGCGATCTGCAAAACCATTATCCCTGTCTCTTATACACATCTAGATGTGTATAAGAGACAGTGTCTGAACATGCTGTGCCTGGGTTTCTGCTGTGTCCAATTTGGGTGTGCACGTGTTTTTAATGTGACATTTTTGTCCCGGGAGATTTGTCAGGACACGGCCTGAGAGTTCCTAATAATGGAAAGGGAAATTTTGTCCCCTGCCAGTTGGCAAACTTGTTGTGGTATGCAGGCAAATCAATTATTTAAAAAAAATCATTATTGTGCCGTACGCCCCTTCGTGCATAAAATACCCAGAGCATCATTTGCCCATCCCAAACTTTTTCTCATGCCCCCAGTACAGCCTGTCCAAATTTGTCTCACACCCTTGGCCCGGCGGCCATTGGGCCCAGTGGGCAAAATTGCGCATGGTGGCCAGGGGCATGGCGCAAAGTTGACCCCTGCCAGGCAGAGGCATGACAAGAACTTGCAAGCTTGGCATGGCATAAACCGAATTCCTGAATTCAGCTGAGTACCACCAGAAATTCGCCAACTTTCAGGGGCACCAGACAAATTGATCACCAGTCCCCCAAATGAGAAATGAAAGTGATGGCTCTGCTGCACATTGATCACCAGTCCCCCATCCGGCCCAGTGGACTACCAGGTGGCCCTGGCCAAAACCTGCTGATACTAGGGCATAATCACATCAGGACCTTACCGACATGCATCCAGTTCTGTCCTACTGCGAGTACGCTAAAAGAGATCCATCATATATTTCACCAGTGGTGAAAATTTGTGCAGATCCTGCTTAATTCTTTGAGGCTGACAAATTACCTCTCTGCTGTCCGGCTTCTAGCACACGGTTGGTTTGAAGCAAACAACCTTAAACCGCCAGTCTGTACGAGCCTCGTTTCCTTCACATGGAATTTTTGCTGTGCGCTGATTCCTGCCGAAGCGAGTTTTCTCCTTGAGCNGTGTGTGTGTGTGTGTGTGAGAGTGTGTTGTCATATTCCCTATACACTTAAAAAAAGCATGACTGTGCCAGAGAGACTGTTTCGTTGGACTTTCACTGACTGTGTGTGTGTGTGTGTGTGTGTGTGTGTGTGTTTGTATATAGAGGTATGGTGAAAGGATATCAGGCCCTAGCCACCCTGGGGGTATTTGGCAAAGTTGAACCACTTTCAGAGGGGTATGGCAGGATCCAGCAGGTGTTTTGAGGGTCATAACGCAAATAAAAGCATCTCCGAGGGGCGTAACAAAACATTTCCCTTTTCAAAATATACTCTCGTGCATGCCAACATGTAGAATGAAATAAGTCGGTTCTGTAGGCAGCAGAACATGTACAGTCCACCTCCTCCTGATCCGCAATCTGTCAAACCTTATCTTCTGCATGATACCTGATCTGCCAAACCTTACTTGTTCTGCTTCACCTGTGACTAACCAAACCTTACCTGCACATAACCTTTTTTTTTTTTTTTTTTTTGGTTTCCCTTTTCTTAAAAAAGTGGCAGCCCTGTGATATCACCTTTGAACTGACCCCCCACGTAAATCCAGAGTCATTTTGACTCATCTGCGTCCATTGGAATTTGAACTCAGGTCAGCATTTCAACAGTTCGTGGGTGTACCAACTGAACTAGGAAAGTCAGTGTCTGCGCATAGCTTTCTTTTCGCGTTCAGATCCGCGATCTGCAAAACCATTATCCACTGCATGACCCATTAACTTCACCTTTTTTTTTGTTTGAATAGAAACGCTCTGGGCAAAATCTATAGTGCACATTACAAGAACGGCTCAAAGATGAGCACGTTCATTTAGGAAACTCGTATCTTTCTCTTACTGAAAAAAAAAAAACAATCTCTTTTTTGTCTTTTTTTCTTTTTCCAAAGAGAAGCTGGGAACCGCACCTGGTGTCCCTTATATATTTCAGAAAGCCAGGAATTGGGCCTGGCGTCCCTCATAAAAGCTAGGCAGTCCCATCGGAGGGCGAGCCATCACCGGTCAAGCCCAAGGATAGAACCACTAACACTCATCAATCCACGAAAGCCAAAGCATGTGAAACAGACCCTAATTTTCACAAAGGGATACTAACGAATTACTACTGACATCACTAACAATTTGCCAGCCATCAAGGGAGTACCAAAGGTCTAATTAGACATCAGATAACAAAACCAACCAAATTCTCGCCCAAAGCCCGAAAAGCTAAAACATATGAGATGAATCCTAATTTTTGAAGGATGAAATACTAGCAGGTTATTGCCCATCTCTCTAACTAATCGCTGCCCAGCAAAGGGGTGCTGAAAAAATAATTAGACTTGAAAATTCAAACAACTAAACCATCGAGGTTCTTGCCCAAAACGGCAACGAAATTCTTGCCCAAAACAGCAAACAGGACAGGGGTAATGAGAAACAAGACCACAGAAAGGAGACAAAAACAAACATCCATCACCCGCACTCGAAGCGTGACCATGAATATCATCGAAAGCTTAAACAGGGGGCAATAAACGTAAATCAGCACAACACTATAGTCCAAAACAAATCTCTGAACAACAGGTAGTCTCACATCGAAGACAAAAAGTTTAACGACGCTTGTGGAAAAAGGAAAACAGCATCCATGCGAACAAGATGAAGCTGTCGACAAGGAAGAGCAACCGCAAATCCGCTTCGCCAAGACGAAGCTGCCGATGAGGAAGAGCAACCGCAGATCCGCTTCGCCAGCTTGAATCTTCAGAACAATCATTGTTAACACGACCGTCATCATTGAGGGGTAAAATTCATCTTTGGTTATGCTACTCGCGAGTGCTTTAGTTTGGTTCCCACCCAAAAAAAAATAAAAAAAAAAAAAAAAAAAAAAATGGTTTTAACTTTTATTTCATTTTGTCACCATGAATGGAGGTCATTCAGGATGATAGGCCACCACCACCACCAACAACAAAAAAAAAAACCTATATCTGGCATAAACCGTGAAGTTCTCGACCAACTTGTGTTTTTTGTTTGTTTGTTTGTTTGTTTTTGTTATTAAAATCTAAAAAGAAATTTGGACGATTTCTCGATTTACGCGTGTCATCTTTTTGCACAGGGGCCATGCTAATCTTCTCTCTGTCTTTACCGCTTCAATTTTAACGGACGTCCAAGAGGACTCAACCAACTTTGTCTCAAAAATTTGCTTTGATCTTTTCTTGGACACTGTTTATTCCAGAAGGGTTTCGGACGCAAATGGTTCTAGCCGTAGTTGGCGAGCTCTTCTTCCGCATACCAACATATTTTATCCTTTCTTTGAAAACCTGTATCCTATCTTGAAAAATCTTTATACATTCTTGGAAAAACCTTATTCATTCTTGAAATACCCTCATCCATTCTCATTTTCTCCAAAAGAGATTGCAGTGACTGACAAGTTCTTGACTGAATGCGCCCCATGCCAATGACTACGAACCCCGTAACTGTGCCGTGACCTGCATGCCACTTTGCATAGTGGCATGCTGATGAGTGGGTGAGTCTCCAATGAAGCAGTCCGTCACAGCCTGCAATTTCTTGTCCTTTTCTCCCTTTCTGCTGACGGTGCACAGGGAGTTCTCCATGACGATATGCACGCAAACAGACATCATCACTACACACAAACACACACGCGCACATCCACATTGTCCGCTTATTTGTCCACCTCTTTTCTCCCTCCGTGTTCCCTTCAGTGTCTGAGTGCCTTTTTTCCATATGTTTCTGAGTACTTAAGTTTAGTACCCTCAAGACGTGCCAAATAGTCAGCCTGACCATTTTTGGAGTGCCTGTACATCATTAGCGGGCGTGTTATGTTTTGGATGCTTGTGTTACCGTGCTTTCCGGCGGTGATAGACATTCGTTACACCTGACTCCCTGGCTCAGAGCGCCCCAAATTCGTTTCCTCTATATATAGGGTGGCATGAACCTACAGTCTGTTGAGTTCTACTTTTTTGTGCGTGAGTAGGTGATGTTCTGCTTTGGTCCGAGAGGTACGACTGGACTGCATTGTCGGTGCTGCCATAGTGCTTGGCTGCCCATCTGCTTGCTCTGTCTTTCCGTGCTGTCCACCTGTCGGCCTTGAAGCTTGGCTTCCTTATCTGTGCTCTCTTGTGCATTGCTGCCTCGCTGCCTTGCTCCCCTGCTGCCTTTTTGCCTTGCTCCCCTGCTGCCTTGTTGCCTTGCTGCCTACTGCTCATAGTGTCACCCTACTGCTCGGCTTGCCGTTTGCCGGCCATGTGCTTTGCTGCTTTGTTGCCTTGATGCCTTGTGGCTTCGCTGCTTTGCCCCTTGTTGCCTTGTCGCCCGCTGCTCAGCGACTTTTGCCCTTTGCCTGCCTCGTGCTTCGCTGCTTCGTTGCCTTGCCACAAGTTGTGCCTTCGCTGCTTTGTGCCTTGCTGCCTTGTTGCCTGCTGCTCATCTGTCTTTTGCCGTTTGCCTGCCTTGTGCGTCGCTGCTTCGCTGCCTTGCTGCCTTGCTGTCTTGTGGCTTCGCTGCTTTGTGCCTTGTTGCCTTGTTACCTTGTTGCCTTGTTGCCTTGTTGCCTGCTGCTGATGTGTCCTTTGTCCTTTGCCTGCCTTGTTGCCTGCTGCTCATGGGTCTATTGCCCACCTTGGCGATGCTGCCTCGCTGCCATTGCCTGCCTTGTTGCCTAGCTGCCTTGCTTCCTTCTTGCCTGTTCCCTGCTCCAGCAGCCCACCCACCTCCCCTGCCCTCCAGCCTATCTGCCTCGCTGGTGCTTGTCGTCCAGTGGCTTGTTACTTCGCCCTTGCCTCACTGCTTCTGATGTCATCTGATGGCCGTCCACTTACAAAAGGGGTTTAAAGGGGATCATGACTCAAAACATCACTTGTTGCCTGCTCCAGCAGCCCACCCACCTCCTTCCTATGCAAGGCCCAAGTCCAATGTAACAGTCTATCGCTACCCTGTCTTTTGTGTCTTCCCATGTGTGTTCCTCCTTCCTATGTTGTCCCTTTGCCTACTCACAGACCATATGCACTTATCCCATACCCATGCGTGTATCTCTGCAGGTTGAATGAGCTATGTTCATTCCCGGAATGCTTTTCTATCTTTTGAGGGACCCGTTAAGTAAAAACTGACCAATGCCATGGACCACGCAGTATGCGGGGCCATTACATAGTTTACTATCTGTACAATCTAGATGTGTATAAGAGACAGATTCACCTGACCACAACTGTACCTGGCGATAAGCCAAAAAAGGTCTAGCGTGGAGTATGCCCTTAAGAGGAGCGAATCATTTTTTATACCTTAAACCTGAAGCAAGGTATTCCTTCCCACATCCCTAAAAAAGAATCTTTCACCCAGGCCATAAGGCTGAATGGTACCCATATGTAGTCGCTAGCAAACAGATCACGAGTTCAAATCCGGTTCGCATCAGATGGATACAATAATGCTAGGGGCCGCGTTTTCGTCAAAGGTTTCTGATCTGAACCTCAGTTCTGAGCAAACTACCGTTTTCCCCCGAACACAACGCACCCTCATTTTGGCTGTATCTGGCCGGAAATATAGCTTGTATACATTCATTTTTAGGGTGCGTTATGTTCGGGGGAANCACACACACACACACACACACACACACACACACACACACACACACACACACACACACACACACACACACACTCTGCAGGGTCGGTGTGAGTAAAGTCTACCACTTTTCTCTGGGGTATTGCTAACTCTGGGCGACAAGGTGAGTCCTTGTCCATCAGTCAAATGCATCCTGGGCACACTGTTGGGGTTCAACCTCCTGATGAGTCGGTGAAAGTCCGACGAAACAGTCTGTTCGGTACAGTCATGCTTTTCTTTATGGAGTTGTGTATAGTGAACACACACACACACACACACACACACACACACACACACACACACACACACACACACACACGGACAGGGACATATGGATATACATGTGCAAAAGAAGAAGAAACTTCAAAAAAAAAAAGGCCAGAGACCCGCAGAAGTGTGTCACGAGAGAATTCCCCTGCTTGTTTTCCATGCTGCTTCTCTGTGCTCAGGCTTGTGGCTGCATTCATAGTCTAGATGTACGAACGCGCGTTCTATCTCCGGCAACATCTCCAACTTATTCTGCAGTGCCTCTCCGATATCGTGCGCCTCTCTGAGCTTCATGTCGTCCGGCAGCACCACGTCCACCTCCACGAAGTAATGGCTCCCGAAGGAATACGCCCTCACCGTATCTATCTGCTTGACGGCTTGGTGATGGTTCCAGCACAAGTACGTTAGTTTCTGAAGGAACTCAGGCGGCGCGGAATGTCCCACGAGCGACCGAGCGTTCTCTGCGACCGTGCCTGACCAGTTCGTGATTGTATACAAGGCGAGAAGAATGGCCCCGACAGCGTCCATCCACCAGAAGAAGGCCTGAGCAAGCAGCGCGGCAACCAACCCCATCACGTTGGTGATGACATCAAAAAAATGATCTTGGCTATATGCTTTCACAATCTCGTTCTCGAAGGAGGAGCAGTAGACAAACAACGCGAGTTTGACAACCGTCACACCAATCATTACAGAAGCTACCAAAGGTACTTGGGAGGACGGCATCTTCTGCCCCTGCCCACCCCCGCCCTCCCCCTCGACAAACAGTCTACTAACCCCTTCTACTAGTACTTGCAAGCTTACGGATGCCATCACAGACGCGAATATAATTATGCCAAGTGGTTGCATGCGGTTCTTGCCGATGGGGTACTTGTATGGGTTCTGTGTCCTCATCGACCTAGCAGTAAACCAGAGGATAAGACCAGATAGGAGGTCCAGTAGGGAGTCCAACGTGGACGCCATGATGGCCAACGAACCGCTCGTGATCGTCACAAAGATCTTCGCCACAAAGAGGATAAGATTGGCGACGTTGGAGATCCGGATAGCCAGCCAGACTTGCTTGGCACTCTTCTCGCCGGCTTCGAACGGCTCTGCTAAAGAGTCGTGATCGTGTCGTTTTCTTCTTCTTCTGCCCGCCTCCTCTTCCTCATCCTCATCCTCTTTCCTCTTCTTCCATCTCCGAGGAGATCGACGCGATAGGCCTTCATGATGATGATTACGCTCAGAAGACTGAGACACGATTTCGCCCTCCACATGACTCGGATATCGTTCAAATGCGACATCAGCATCATTGTCATCATCATCACCAGCATCACCAGCATCATTATCATCATCATCATCCTCAAGATCATCAGCTTCAGAAGCTCTCCCGACGGAATCCAGTTTCGTGAAACTTCCAAGTTGATTGGACAAACCCTGATAATATTCAGTAATCGCATGTGCAGCCCTGCTGCCGCGGTTGACACGTGTCCAAGCCGTTCTCCCATCAGCTGATGAATTAGCGGACTGAAGTAACTCAAGCTGCCGGCGAATTGTAGGCTCGTAACGACGAGCTTGAAATCTCCATTCCTGTCCATTTAACGATGGAGGAGGAGGAGGAGGAGGAGAAGGAGAAGGAGAAGGAGGAGGAGGCAATCCATCGTCGTTGCTAAATCCGATAGACAAGGAGACCAATCCATTCTCTACGTCACCTCCTCCTCTTCCTCCTCTTCCTCCGCCTCCTCCTCCTCCTCCTCCTCCACCTACTCCACCTCCTCCTCCCCTCCTTCCTCTTCCTCCCCCGTTCTCCCATTCGAATGCTTCGTCCCCTCTTGAGCTCCTTCCCAGTAACAACTGCTTTGCCTCTTCATCGTCATCCATCTCCAGCTGACGTGTCACACCTTTTTTCTTTTATTGGCTCACGTGTAACGCCTTTTTTTTCACCTGTGCCAACAATAAATAGTTCCTGTGAGATCACAGCACATAACAAGAATCTCTGTCCATCGAAGACTGCACTACCGTGTTCCCCCGAACACAACGCACCCTCATTATGGCGGTATCGGACCGGGAAAATAGCTTGTATACATGCACTATAAGCTTGTACTACTATTGTGATAATGTAAAATATACATTCATCACGAGGGTGCGTTCTGTTCGGGGGGCGAGGGGCACATTGTCCTGTAATCATTAGAGTTTTTTAGTAGTATGGCCTATATACAGAAAATTAGTAGTATAGTAAAAAAAAAAATTATCCATCCGATGCTAGAGATTACATGGCATTAATACACAGTCCATAGCATAGGATGGATTTTTTTTTTATATTTACGAGGGGCACATTGTCCTGTAATCATTAGAGTTTTTTAGTAGTATGACCTATATACAGAAAATTAGTAGTATAGTAAAAAAAAAATTATCCATCCGATGCTAGAGATTACATGCCATTAATACAGTCCATAGCATAGGATGGATTTTTTTTAATATTTATTATACTACTAATTTTCTGTACATAGGCCATACTACTGCCATAGTATATAGTACATAGCATAGTACAGAACAAACTAGACAGAGACTGCAGGCCAGAATAAAGAAAGAATACAGGATAATACAAGACAAATATTTCGTATACAGGCCATTAGTGTGGTACATAGTAGTATAGTACTAACTAAAAATTATTTGTGTATAGGCCATAGTATGTAAATACTAAATAGGCCATAGTATAGAGTACATAGCATAGTACAGAACTAACAAGACACAAACTGCAGGCCATAGCACAGAAAGAATACATGATAGTACTAGATTTTTAGTGTACAGGCCATTAGTATAGTACTTAGTGTAGTACATAGTAGTTTAGTACTAACTAAGACAACATTTTTTCGTATATAGGCCATAGTATATAGTACATAGCATAGTAGAGAACTAACAAGACACAGAGCGCAGGATAGTACTAGATTTTTAGTATACACGCCACTACTATAATACATAGTAGTATAGTACTAACTAAGACAATAGTACAGAAAGAATACAGGATAGTACTAGATTTTTAGCATACACGTCATTATTAGTATAGTACAGTGTAGTACTAACTAAGACAATATTACAGGCCATGATATATAGTACCTAGTATAGTGAAGTATACTAACTAAGACACATTACAGGCCATAGTATAGGGAAAAAAATACAGTATAGCACTACAGTTTTAGTAACTTAGCGTGCTGCAGTATGTGTACTCAGTACATAGTATAGCACAGTACTAAGTATAGCACAGTACTAACTAGACACAGATTACTGCCCATAGTATAGCACAGTACGAACTAGACCCAGATACTGACCATAGTATAGAACATCATTAACTAGACACAGATTACTGACCATAGTACACAAAAAATGCAGTATAGTACTGAAAGTTGTCAGTACATAGTATAGCACAGTACTAACTAGACACAGATTACTGCCCATAGTATAGCACAGTACNCACAAAAAATGCAGTATAGTACTGAAAGTTGTCAGTACATAGTATAGCACAGTACTAACTAGACACAGATTACTGCCCATAGTATAGCACAGTACTAAGTATAGCACAGTACTAACTAGACACAGATTACTGCCCATAGTATAGCACAGTACTAACTAGACCCAGATTACTGACCATAGTATAGAACAGCACTACCTAGACACGGATTACTGACCATAGTACACAAAAAAAATGCAGTATAGTACTGAAAGTTTTAGTATTTTAGTAAATTGTCGTGCTGCAGTACGTATACTAAATTTGTAGTCTATAGCACATACTTTATGCCTACTAACTTCATAGCATAGAGAGATAGGTACTGACGTTATAGTACAGTATACCTCTCTATTTAATCTCTCTCTCTCTCTCTCTCTCTCTCTCTCTCTCTCTCTCTCTCTCTCTCTCTCTCTCTCTCTCTCTCTCTAGTACTACTATTCTCTCTCTCTCTCTCTCTCTAGTACTACTATTCTCTCTCTCTCTCTCTCTAGTACTACTATTGGTATAGTGTGGTTGAGGATGGCCTATGGACGAATCCTCCATGATAGGCCATCCCAAACTACACTCGACTAATCCAAATATCTAAATCAATGCCATTTGTAAATGATATACGGGGGAACTCTGAAATTGGTAGGGGCCCATGATATGATATGTGTACATCCAAAAGTGAAGACAACCTTGTTGCTTTACAATCTTATTAATAAGTTATTATTATTATATGAGATTCTTTTTTTTTTCCATTTTTTTTTTTCCGCCAAATAGGTAAGAGAACTCAAAGCAAGTAGAGGTTTTTTTTTTTTTTTTAATTTAATAAGCAAGTAGAGTTAGTGAGCCCTGTAATTTCTTTTATTTTTATTTCCCCCCCCCCGGCCAAATAGGTTAGAGAACTCAAAACTTCAATCTGATTTGCACAGACTTACTGATTTTGCACAGACTTACTGATTTGCACAGACTTACTGAAGTGCCCTCCTATTTCGCACCGTTCGGAGGGCATTTCAGTAAGTCTGTGCAAATCAAATTGAAGTTTTGACCCCCTATCTCTTTTGATGACGCCAGAAGTCGTTTTGATCATATTATACGATTTTATTTTGTGTCTATTTTTTTTTTTCTTATTTTTGGGGCGACCGTTTGAGTCACCGTGGGAACATATTGAAAATTTCTTATTTCTTTTTTTTTTTAATTTGGACCATTTCTCGATTTATGCGTGTCATCCTTGAAAGCGCAGGGGCCATTCGCTAATCCTCATTCTCTGTATCGTTCCAATTTTAACGGATGTCCCGAAGGACGAAATTTATTATTTCTCATTTGTACAAATTTTCAATGTCAAATAAAAAATCTCAATTTTCAATATGTCAAATAAATGAGATTTTCATTTCAAAATTTCGTTTTCATTTTTTTGATAAATGTCATGTTTTGATTACACGGTCGTTCCACTGTTGTATTCTGAAAGAGTGTGGGGCCCACCACCTCTGTGTACTTAGTGTGGAATTCGGACTAAGCACGTACGTTGTCATAATCGCTATACACTCAAAAAAAAAAATCAAGACTGTGCCAGAGTGTTTCATCAGACTTTCACCGACTCATCTAGAGGTTGAACCTGGACCGACAGTCTGACCAGGATGGATGCATTTGACTGATGGAGAAGGATTCACCACGTTGCCCAGAGTTAGGGATACCCATCACTGAGAGAGAAAAGTGGTCCCCACTTTACTCACACCAACCTTGCAATCCTAGCAGACTGCCGGTCTAATAAACCCGTTTCAAGCAGTGTGAGTGTGAGTGTATTTTTTAAAGGAACCCCAAATTCTCTCTCTCTCATTCCCTCCACGAATCATCATAAACCATCCATTAAAAAAAAAAAAAAAAAAAAAAAAAAAGTAGATATGGGCAAGATAGTAAAAAATGCAAGGTTGGCCATGTTTGTGTGGTTCAGCGCCAAGTGCCCACACACCCACCGGTCTGCTGCCGAAGCGGCACATTTGCACTTATACATATGTGTATGTGTACAAATTGGTATACATTTCATAATCCAACATAAAGGGATGGAGGGCAAAACGCAAATTACAGCGCCAAGCGCCCACACACCCACCCGTCTGCCGCCGAAGCGCCACACGTAAACGTATACATCTGTCTACATAATGGTATACATTTCATAAAATCCAACATAAAGGGATGGAGGGCAAAACGCAGATTACCCAGGACATTAGACTCCCCTCTTGCAAGAAGGCACCACCGACGACCCAACCCTCCAAAGGTCCCAAAAAAGTTGGACTCGGATCGCCTTCCGCATCAGCCCACAAAACCACTGCAGTAGTACTTCCTCGAGTCGTGCCCGTTAACACGCCACGATTTTAGGAAACGTACGGGCCACTACAGGAGCGCCCAAATTCATCCCACTAGAAACGTTTCTACTCTATTGTGTGTGTGTGTGTGTGTGTGTGTGTGTGTGTGGTCATCGTCGCTACACACAATTCCACTTCCACAAAAGAAAGCAGGACTGTGCCAGACTGATGAGCTGGACTATAATCCCCGAATCGTCAGAAGGTCGATTATTGTCATGCTGGCAGGAGACTGGCAGGAGACAACTCCACACAAGGGAAATTTCACCGACTGATCAGAAGGCTGATCCAGAGAGTTTAGTCGGAAATTTCACCGAATGATCAGAAGGCTGAACCTCGACAATCTGCGCGCAGGAGGATTCTGCTGATGGGGATACGCAGTCACTACACCACGTTGGCCCGAGTACGTAATACCCTCGAGGGAGAGAAAGGTGGTTGACTTTACTCAGACCAACCCTGCAATCCTGACCGACATATAGGGCCAAACCCCTGGGGAAAAAAAAATGATAATCAGTCTGAGAAACTAATCTCTCCAAATCATAAAACCCACTCTACAGATGTGTGTGTGTGTGTGCGTGTGTGTGTGTGTGCGTGTGTGTGTGTGTGTGTGCTCTGTGTGTGTGTGTGTGTGTGTGTGTGTGTGTCATTTTCGCTACACACAATTCCACTTCCACAAAAGAAAGCATGACTGTGCCAGACTTGATGAGCTGGTCTATAATCCCCGACTCGTCCACACAATAATCAGTCTGTCGGTGAAATTGTCTCCTGCCAGCATGACAATAATCAGTCTGTCGGTGAAATTGTATCCTGCGAGTCTCCTGCCGACTCGTCAGAAGGTCGATAATTGTCATGCTGGCAGGAGACTGGCAGGAGACTGGCAGGAGACTGGCAGGAGACAACTCCACACAAGACTTAGGGGAAAAAGCGCAGACGGTCCCAGAGAGTTTCGTCGGAAATTTCACCGACCGATCAGAAGGCTGAACATCGAGAATCGGCGCGCAGCAGCATTCTCTGGAAATTTCACCGACCGATCAGAAGGCTGAACATCGAGAATCGGCGCGCAGCAGCATTCGAATGATGGATACGCAGTCACTACACCACGTTCCGCAGAATAAGTAAAATACCCTTTCGAGGGAGAGAGAAAGGAGAAAGGTGGTTGTGACTTTACTCAGACCAACCCCTGCAATCCTGGCCGCCGAATATCACTCACAAGGAGGAAGTACGTATGTGGTCGTGAAAGAAAAATGGTAATCAGTCTGAGAAACTAATCTCTCAAAAATTCCAAATCATAAAACCCACTCTACATACTCACTCTGTGGACGTCAAGACTCTGTGGGTGTAAAAAAACATTAAAAAAAATTAAAAAAAAAGACTGTGGGTGTGCAGGCTGTGTGGGTGTCCAGACTACTACGTGGATCTGTGCGCGTTTGAGAACCTCAGCTTCATTTAGAGATCAACAATGTCTATTCATTCACAACGACATACGTACGTCCTCCTTGTGAGTGATATTCGGCGGCGAAGCACTTATGGTAAAGAAAGCAGTGGGTAGTCAATCAGGACGAGTGATAGAATTTTGAATGGCCCCGAGACGATGACAAATACACTGTTTTTTTTTTTTTTTTTTTTTTTTTTTT